TATAACTTTACAACAGCAACACTGCTTTAACAAAAATGCAAAACAGCAAGACTTATTTGGACATCAAAACAAAAATTTAAAAAATGCTGTCTAATCGCTCTCGCCGTTCTTTGATGTCATACACAGAATGGTCTGTGCCGTCCTGCTTCAGTCAAAATATCACATTTGGAACTGGTCAGTGCTCAAAAAATGCTGGGAAATCACTTCATGTAGCCCCAAGAGCATTTGAGCATCAACTGCATTTCATTAGCTCTGTACTTGTACTCTGCATAATGACAATAAAGTTGAATCTAATCTAATCTAATCTAAAAGAGTGATTACTGATAAACTGTCTAAAAAAAAGAAAGTTACGTTTTAGAGAAGAAGAAAAAATCACTGACTTTCAAAGCTGCTAACGACATTCTACTTTGAGGATCTTGATAGAAATGTAGTGGAGAGAAAAATACAATATTTGTCTTTCAAATGTAAAGGAAAAATTTAAATCGCATCATATGACCCCTTTAAAGTCATACGTTTACAGAAAAAATAATACTCAAGTAAAGTACAGATACTCAAAAAGTGTACTTAAGTACAATACTCAAGTAAATGTATTCAGTTACTGTCCGCCTCTGAGCGCTATTTGAGTAATATTGTGCAATTTTAGTCATTTAAAACTGTAAAGCTTTCCATCCACATTAAAAGAGTGTCTAACCCGCAGAGACGCTCCTGGTCCCTGGAACAGCCTGAACCTCTATGTTCTTCCAGAATCCATCTCCATCCTCTCTGTGCGAGTCCAGGGCCAAATCTGAGGCCGTGGTGGACATGGGAGTGACAGACTTTGAGCCTCCCTGGCTGAGGTCAGACAGCTCATCCTGAAATTATTCAACACACAATGCTCATTACCTGAAGGTCAGAGATCACAGCTCAGGGACAGAGGAGAGAAAGCAACATGAAAACACAGAGGGGTTGGGATATTCACTTAAACCCCGAACATTTGACAAACTGATGTGAGACCAGTGGGCACACAAACACGCACAGGACAGACACAACGAAATATATAATGGATAATATGCTGGCATTGCTGTAGACATCAAATGTTTTTGAAAAACTGGAGTCAAATAACAACTAGACAAATCAGTGTCAGTTCAAGACTACAAACACAAAAAAGGGCAAACACTTGACAGCTCATTGAAGCAACTGTAAGCTTACATGATACAAAAACAACAACAAAACATCAGAGAACAGCGATTAGAACGGCAAAAAATTGAGATTGACTGATACAGAATATTTTAGTTTTTTCAAGTTTCCTGTAACTAAAATGCAGAAATATTGTAAATACTACAATATTACTAATAATATTTTTAAGTTTAAATTTCTGCTTTTCAACACAATAATTAAAAAAATGCATGTTATGCCATTACATTAATGCAAAGTTGTTTTGTAACTTTGCAGTCTGATTATTAGGATACACATTTAAAAATGTATGTTTATAATTTTATCCAAACACTATATTAAATAAAGTGATATATATATGATTTATACCATGCCAATTCAGGAGAGAAGAAATATATCATCCAAACCCATTATCAGTCAGTCTCTACAAAAAACTAATGCAACACACAGATTTTGAAAAACTGGAGTCAAATAACAACTAGACAAATCAGTGTCAGTTCAAGACTACAAACACAAAAAAGGGCAAACACTTGACAGCTCATTGAAGCAACTGTAAGCTTACATGATACAAAAACAACAACAAAACATCAGAGAACAGCGATTAGAACGGCAAAAAATTGAGATTGACTGATACAGAATATTTTAGTTTTTTCAAGTTTCCTGTAACTAAAATGCAGAAATATTGTAAATACTACAATATTACTAATAATATTTTTAAGTTTAAATTTCTGCTTTTCAACACAATAATTAAAAAAATGCATGTTATGCCATTACATTAATGCAAAGTTGTTTTGTAACTTTGCAGTCTGATTATTAGGATACACATTTAAAAATGTATGTTTATAATTTTATCCAAACACTATATTAAATAAAGTGATATATATATATGATTTATACCATGCCAATTCAGGAGAGAAGAAATATATCATCCAAACCCATTATCAGTCAATCTCTACAAAAAACTAATGCAACACACAGAGATTTACACAACACACGCCAAACAACGACGCAAATATCATTTACGCTGATGAAATAAGTTAAAAACACTGCTGTAAATGCAACCCAATGCAGTAATTTAAAGAAAAGAAGAAAAACTGTTAAAGCCAAGTGTTGGGGATATTTATACTGTAGAGAAATATTAACCTACTAAAACTGAGCCTTTATTAACCTATATCTTTCACGCACCCACACACTTTATCCAAAATAATGCAAAACTAACATTACTTTCCCACTATAAAAATGTAACAGTTACTTTTATTAGAAGTAAAGAAATAGGGTAACATTTCCTTTATAAGTAACAATCCCCAACACTGGTTAAAACTAAATTATAACCACAATAAGTGTTACAACTAAAGAAGTGATACTGTCAGCAACCATTTTGATAACACAATGTTAGAAATGTGCAAATGAAGAACTAAATCTAAGACAGCGTGAAACTGAAATGACATGTGGTGAAAGCTAAATTAACACCATGCATTAGCTGTATGCAACTACATCCTAAATAACTAAAATAATTATTACTCCATGTTAACATGCTCTTTTTAATTAGCATTTATTACTAATCTGGACGTTCTACATCTCTGTAGTTGCATGCAGTTAAGACACCAAACAACCTTCTGTAAAAAATAAAAAAAACGTTCGACTATTAGAGGACAACGGTGATTTGCACTACACACTGTCTGCCGCCACAGAGCCTTGCTACCTTGCAGTCGTTTGCCAGCGAGGCCCAAGCTTCCAGAACATCCTTACCACCCCATTTCTTTGGAGTGTCCTCCGCCTCCAACTGCTTGGACAAGAAAACTGGGACGTGGCATCTTATTTTTGTTTGAAACACAAAACACATTAGCGCTCACATGTGTTTGTGCTGTGATCTAGCATTGGTGGGTGGGAAAACACAACTCTAACATAACATTATTATGGATGAGAACATTTAAAGCAGCGATCCATAGAAGAGAGCTTCAGATTCTTAATGTTGCCATGTTTCATGCAGGTGAACGTGGATGTCGAAGCATCAAATCAGTTCAGGTAAAGAAAAAAGGCTTTAATATAAATTGAATTAAAAATGTAAAATTCGTTTATAACACTATACTTTGTTACATTGGCATTACATTTCAGAAAACTAGTTAATGCTGCTGCGTTTCTAATGCAATGGCTGAGGAAGTGACAGCAAATTTGACCTTCTTCTCTCTTCCAACCATTGTAATCAATAGGTCTATTTTTTTCCTCTTTTGGAAAGTCAGAGAAACACTATCATAGATTTTTTCTTTTACAATTGGAGCAACAAAAAATTATATTTGTTGTAGTTTCTTCACCACTATAGAAGGACTTCCAGTTCTGAGAACCCTGGAAATGTGAAAAGGGTCCATTTGACGTTCTTAAATTGAACATCAGTAAGTATTGAACCCAGTTCAAAAAAAAATATTTTTTTCCAAATGAACCGCAAAATATTTTCAGAATAACTGCATATTACACATGTTATCTAAACATCCTCACAACAAGTTTATAACAGCCTATCCTAAAGTATAGGTCAAATAAATTATGTTAAATGGGTCATATGACGTTGCTAAAAAAAGAACATTATTTTGTGTATTTGGTGTAATGAAATGTGTTTATGCGGTTTAAGGTTCAAAAAACACATTATTTTCCACATACTGTACATTATTGTTTCTCCTCTATGCCCCGCCTTTCTGAAACGCGTAAATTTTTACAAAGCTCATCGTTCTGAAAAGCGAGGTGTGCTCTGATTGGCCAGCTATCCAGTGCGTTGTGATTGGCCGAATACCTCAAGCGTGTGATGGAAATGTTTTACGCCCCTACCATACTGTGATGCCGTGTCCCGGCGCGAGACAAAACCAGTAAACCCATTACAAAAGAGGCATTTGTTGCATCCAGTGGGGACATAAATACGGATTATAATGACTTATACTGTATTTTT